ATTTAGTTTAGATTTTACGAGGATTCCATACATAGCTATTATAAGTTGATTGTATTTAAATATCAATATAAAAGTATACATAGCTGTCTCCAGACAAGAGTTGGTAGCGGGTGCTATTGCCTAGTTGTCTTCCATCTAGTGTATCAACTTAAAACTAAACTCGTCTACGTGTAGCTTTAAGCAAAAATTCTAAACAAACAAACAAACTCACAAAATGTGTAACTGGTACACATATTGTTTTGCTATTTTGTTTCTAATAGTTTTGACACCAGATTATTCAGTACAAAAACTATAAGAGACAAAAGCACACTGCCTTGAAGAAAAAAAAATAAGGTCTTACTCCAGCATTTTCAGAGCCAATGAAACAACAAGTTATTTTAAGCAGACAAATTCGTTTTATAACATTAGAAGTAGTTTACATGCTTAGCCTACTTCATTAATTTCCGGCCTTACTCTGCTTTATAAGTACCAGATATTTTGTATGTATGATGAAACAAAATTTTAACCAAGTTTTCTTTAAAAACATCCAGTAAAATTAAGGTAAAAACAAGTAATTTTTTTATATGGTGTACTGGGCTATACTGGGTCCACTAAAAGAAAATTGTTAAGTCATGTGAAAGAATATGCAAATCTGAGATCCCTGATTAAGTTACGTCCATAGTATTTTAAGATCTTAGCAAGGCCTAATGATGAACAAAGCCCCCATATAAAGAGTCTGCCCATTCATAAAATTAACAAAGTAGACTTAGTAAGTAAATTACTTCTAATATAACAAATTATTGTATCGCAGTCTACGGACTTACAACGCTAAAATCCGGGTGTTCGATTCCTTGCGGTGGACACAGCAGATTATCCAATAGGGTTTTGCACTAAAATGAACAAAATAATTATTTAATTCATTGCTGGTAATAATGATTATTATCACAAATTATTATTTTTATTATTTCTTATTGACCCCCCCCCCCTTCTTCTACCTCCAACGAAGAGTCAACTGTACAATCTTGTTTAGGGGTATAGGTTGCTCAAAACGGAAGCTAAGCCTCGCATACACGAACGATAGCATTGTTATTTCCGAAAATACTGATGTAAGTTCCTGTTTAATTGAACACATTGGTTTGTGTCTGTGTCACGTTAAGATTATAGGTATGTTCTAAGGTTTATATTTACTTTTTAAAAAAAAAAACATACAGTGCTTTTCGTGTATTCATGTTTTTATATCGATTTTTTTATGGGGGGTTTTTTCACATAATAATTTCATTAACATACTTTTTTGTCAATAGAATAAAGAAAATATATTAGAATTGCATCTAATTACAATTTAACAATATATATAAATATATATCATAATTTACCAGTCATCACTTTCTTGACCACTGGTCACCCAATTGCTTAATCACTTCAACTGGCCATGTTTGACCAGTGGTAATTTTAATCAGTCGATATGCCTCATTACAACTATAACATATATATATCTATAAAGCTATAAACCGTGACCGTCTTCACTCATGTAACGTTAAGAGTTTCATTATATTTGGTCGATTATCCAAACATGATGCAGTTGAAAGTTCGTATTTATTAACACACGTAAGATCATCAGATTAGACATGTGAAGTGACGTAACGTCAGCTCACTCTATGTAATGACTATAAAACATTCTAAGATATTTAAATCTCCTCCTGGTGACATCAAGACACACACATCCAGTGACCTCTTCTAAGTGTCATTTGGTGACGTCAAGACACACATCCAGTGACATCTTCTAAGTGTCATTTGGTGACATCAAGACACACATCCAGTGACATCTTCTAAGTATCATCTGGTGACATCAAGACACACATCCAGTGACATCTTCTAAGTGTCATTTGGTGACGTCAAGACACACATCCAGTGACATCTTCTAAGTATAACCCGGTGGCGTCAAGACTCACATCCAGTGGCATCTTCTAAGTATCATCTGGTGACATCAAGACAAACATCCAGTGACATGTTCTAAGTGTCGTTTGGTGACATCAAAACATACATCCGGTGACATGTTCTAAGTGTCATTTGGTGACATCGAGACACACATTCAGTGACATGTTTTAAGTATCACCTGTTGACATCATGACATACACATGTTCCAAGTATAACCCGGTGGCGTCAAGACTCACATCCAGTGGCATGTTCTCAGTAAAACATTGTAGCATCAAGACACACATCTAGTGACATGTTCTAAATATAACCTGGTGGCATCAAAACAAACATCCAGTGACATGTTCTAAGCATCGCCTAACTGAAGACACATTACCGTTTGTTCTAGATATCAGTTATGACACGCTTAACTGAAGACTCATTACCGTTTGTTCTAGATATCAGTTATGACACGCCTAACTGAAGACACATTACCGTTTGTTCTAGATATCAGTTATGACACGCCTAACTGAAGACACATTACCGTTTGTTCTAGATATCAGTTATGACACGCCTAACTGAAGACACATTACCATGTGTTTTGGTCGAGAACACATGGTAATGTGTCTTCAGTTAGGCGTGTCATGACTGATATCTAGAACACATGGTAATGTGTCTTCAGTTAGGCGTGTCATAACTGATATCTTTAGCTTGTTTTTGTACTTGAAGCTTGACTTGTTTTCGTACTTTAGGCTTAGCTTGTTTTTGTACTTCAAGCTCGGCTTGTTTTTGGAATTTAGGCTTAGCTTGTTTTTGGAATTTAGGCTTAACTTGACTTTTGAAATTCTTTACTTTCTCTGAAGCAGCTACAGAAATTTTCCATAGCCAGATAATTACGAGCACTGAGTATTGTTTAGGTACACTAACATTTTAAATTCACAATCACACTTTTTTTGCAAAAAATTTAAAAATCATGTTAGATTGTGGATTTTTTTCGTATTCCTTTAAATTAGGTGCCCCTCAGTAGCACAGCGGTATGTCTGCGGACTTACAATGCTAGAAACCGGATTTCGATTCCCTTGGTGGGCAGAGCACAGATAGCCCATTGTGTAGCTTTGTGCTTAATTTCAAACAAACAAACCTTTAAATTAGGATATTAATAGAATTCAAATAAAAAGAGAGAAAAGTTAATTTCAAATCCATCTTTGTTATCCACATCTCCTGGGATGAAATCCATAATATATCATTTATGAGGTATGTGATTAAAAATTTGCACTTAAACGTTCGTCACCTTTGTTAGGCTTAAGAAGCCTCATAGCTTCGACATTAGTAGACAAAGTTATTGTATTTACTCACACAATACTACTACATCTCAGAAAAAGATTATAGTACCAGTTTAAGTCATAAAAATAACAAGAAAAAATATAATTTTGCTATAAAAATTCTCGCCATAACCGTATCACTTTTGCCTAAAGTACAAAAACAAGCTATGCCTGAAATACAGAAACAAGCTAAGCTCTATTACTAGTTTATAAGAAGATGAAAAATAAGAGAGGAACAAATACACAAATATGCGATTTATAGAAAATTTATGATATTTATTGCTAGATTCTTCAAAATTCTCTAAACTGCTACTCCGTCATAGGCAGCGAACAGGGTTTACTGTCAGCTACATTTTCATTGTATTTTTCAGTGTTTATTCTCTCCTGTCTGTTATTTCCACTTAAAGGAAAAAAAAATTGAGATTCTCATTAAGCTCGTAGTATATTTCATGATGTTAAGCTACAGAGAGAGAGAACTCCGCTGATTTATTGAAATCATAGCATTAATGTACAAAATAGCTATATTCTCCTACACTTGAAATCTTATAACATTAAAATTCGAGGTTTGATCCTTGCAGTTGGAATAGTATAGATAACATAATATGTTGTTTTTTTTTAAAAAAACATTAATCACATAATAGGAAAAGTACTTGAAACACCAGTTTCTTTATTAATCATAGTTAGGCCTTGGCTTTGAACTATTACGAATTATAGCATTTCTAAGCAACCTAATATTTGTTGTTTCATATATTTTTATTTTCTGAAAAAAAGTAAAGTAAGATGCGTTTTATTACCTGGCTTGTTGTGTTATTTGTAGTTAAGCACAAAGCTACACAATGTGCTATCAGTGCTCTAACCACTGGTATCGTAACCCGGTTTCTAGCATTGTAAGTCTGCAGACATATCGTTGTGTCACTGCGAGTCGGCTTTTTGTGAGTTTTAATACAAGGTATCGCATTAAAAATGTGTACATTTAAACCCAAAGAATTAAGGTTTACGACCGAGTTTTTAATGAAATGCCTTTGTGTAATCAGTCAGGTTCTCCGGTGGATCACCGGTAAGTTTACGGATTTACACTGCTAAAACCCAGGGTTCTATTGCTCGTGGACGACAGCGCATTGCGTAGCTTTGCTTTAAAACAACAACTATTAAATTAGAAAGTTGGTAGAAACTTAATGGTAAGGTATTTGGAATAATAATCCAAATGACGTTAATGAATTACATCGTAAATAAGTTATACGAACAGCAGTAATGAGTTCACGTCATTACCCCATTATTTCCCCCATTTCTTTTTCACCCCGTTCAATCTGGAAAGGAAAGTAAGGCGGCTCCCGGAAGTTAACAAGTTGCCTCTAGCAACTGGATTCTCACTTTGTCTTGTAAAAAGAGTGTGAAACGTTGACGGGCTATCGTAGTGACAAAGTCAGTAAAGCCTAACTTTCAACGATCGGTGGAAAGTGCGTGAGTTTTTCTATTTTCGGATGATTCAAACTACAACCAATTTTCATAAACACAAGAAAAATTATAATCTGGGCTCCTCCTAACCCTCCAGTCCGAACGTGTGTTGCATGGCCCATTTTTGGTATCCCAGTAACTCACATCGGGGCTACAACTGAAAGGGCGTGCCAGTGAAGCCGAAAGTGACCCCGTTTTGTACAGAATGAATGTCAGTGAACAAGGGTACATCACGTGACTTTTCTTTGACCCTCTGAGCACCCCACCCTCTGGTCATTGCAGCAAGCAGGCGCGTGGAAACTGAGCGTCGCAATCCTTTTTTTTTTAAATTTTTTAGCAGACCCGTTTCGGTATAAATACAGCGTCTGGAAATTCCTCAGACATCACTTGCTTGCTCCACAGTCTCAGAGGTTTAACAAACTCTCCAAACATGAAAGTGGTGAGTGAATTGGTTAATAACGAAGTACGTTCTTCCATAGAGAAAACGGTAGTCGCTCTCTGGTGAAAGATAAGGCCGCTGTAGCCGGGTACGTTCAGGTAACCACTTCCGTAGGCACCGCCAACTTGAGCGTGACCAGCGGACAGTTTTCCGTAAGCACCGTAGCCGTGGGCAGCAGACAGGCCCTTGGCACCATAAGCCCCGTGTCCGTAACGACCGTAAGCGTTAAGGTTGCTGGAAGCGGATTTGTCGCTCAAACCAGCTGCACTGCCGTAAGCAGCTTGGGCACCTCCGATGTTGTGGTATCCAGCCTGCTTGTCGTAGTTGTAGGCCTTCTCGTAACCGGAACCCTTGTTGCGGGCGTAGGCACCTTGGTCGTGGTATCTGGCTCCAGCGGCACCGACAGCACCATAAGCGTTTAGGTTACGTCGGGCAGCGTTGGCTTTAAGACCAGCAGCACCATAGGCAGCCTGGCCGTAACGGGAGTGGGCGGCTAGAGCGCCGTAGCCAGCGGCACCAGCGGCGCTGTTCAAATAGCCGTGGCCACCATAGCCAGCTCCGTAGGCTCCGTGAGCGACGAGGGCTGGACCATGAGCGTAGTAGGCGGGTACACCGGCGTAGGCAGCGGCGGCCAACATAAAAACAATAGCTAACTGGAAAACAGAAGAAATACATATTGTTTAGCACCAGGACAGAAGTTATTGTAAATACTAAAACGTTCAGTCAGATCTAACATTTCGTAAAATATCTACTAGATGCTGTATAACAATTGTACATATTGAACTCAACCCTAAAACAACACATGTAATGAAACTGCTAATGTCACGTTCATCATATGTTAGGTTTTGGTTTCGCACCACTAGACGAAGTGTTCAACTGCACGCGATCAGGTTAGTTGTGTATTAGTTTTTATGCTCCTTCATTACAGAGTGTGGAAACAACAGACAACAAGAATATATATATATATAAAAATGGCAACTATTTAAAAATTCTGAAACGATGTTTTAATAAATTCTATTTTTTTATTATTACATTTAAAAAGTATGCAAACACCTGACCGTATCTAAAGGATCTAATAATTTATCTGATCTAAATGCTTTTTTTTGTTTGTTTTGTACAGATGCGGATGGTCTAACAAATCAAGTCGGAACTTCACGTCCCTCAGCGGACATCTCTTCTTCTGTCCATCCCAGTGACCACTGGTGGGTCTTTGACTATTATCTCATTCTTCCTCTCCCGCTGACTCTTCAACCTCAGGGACCTTCTGCTCTCTCAACTGGACTCTGTGATCCAACAGTGTTATTGTTGATATTGTTGTATTTATTTCTTCTGTTAAATTATTATAAAAACTAATAAATATTTCTTTAAGAAAAGTTGGTAGCTTGCTCGTATCTCTCTCTCCAGTGAAAAATAATCACTCACAGCTAGAATATGACGTTTAGAGTAAAATTGATAGGCTTATAAACTAACGTTAAGAACAAGATTAAATCAGTATAAAAGACACAACGATGCGAAATATTTTAAAACACTGGGCGTGAAAAACAACAACAACATATTTTCAAAAGGTGTTAGTAATTCAAAACGCCCCCTAGTGGCACAGCGGTATGTCTGCGGATTTCCAACGCTAGCATCCGGGTTTCGATACCCGTGGTGGGCAGAGCTCAGATAACCCATTGTGTAGCTTTGTGCTTAATTACAAACAAACAAACAATTTTCAAAGCAGAAGAAATTATATTTTTTTTTGTTGATTTTTTTATTACTTTTTGATTTGATTCTTATTCCACTTCGTTATACGGATCAGGATTCGTTGGCCGAATCGAATATAAATATCCTTAACTAAGTCAATAGGTTAACGAGGATTTTTAGGTTTCAGTTTTCTTTAAGCTACCGAATCATTTCCTGAAAGTATGTGTAACTGTTTCGCAAATTAAGCTTTAATGTAATCACTATATAACCGATGGAACCATATACAATATACCAAAGATGTACAGTTAGGCCTCTTATAATGATGGTACTGTGTATATAATATTCATGGGGTTTTTAATTCTTTTTTAACTCACCATATAATAACGTAAATTAAGTTCGGTGTGTGAATAATATTGAGGAGCTTTGAATAGGTGAAAATGCAGTCCACAGTCACTACGTCACCGTTTATGTTTTCCAATTTCCTTTGTTGAAAAGACATGAAATCAGTAATAAAATTATATAAAATACAATAATCTCGTCAAACTAAATAAGTAAATTGTAAGAGACGTTTGTTAAGTTACAAGTAAAATAATGACAGAAGTGAAAAAAGAGTTATAAAACAAAATTATTCTCATAGCTACAAAACGAACATTGTGGCGCCATCTGTACAATAAGTAATAAATATGTCCGTGTTGTAATATCTATTTTATTCTGCTTGTTTGTATGTACGATCGTTACGCTTTCTGACCGAGAACTTTCTGCATAAGCATGCGTAGTTAGAATGTTTCCCCAAGAAAAACCGCGCATGCGCATTATTT